GGCCAGTTTACTGTTCTTCAGGCTTTAGGGGGGCCGGACTGTGGCCAATGGGGGTATAAAATGCCCCAATGTCAGTGAAAGGAATAGTGCCCCATCACTGGTTTTAACAGGAAGAATAGTGCTGCATTGCTGGCATCAGCGGGATGAATATTCTCCCATTGGTGGTGTCACTGAAAGCAATGGTGCCCCATCATTGGTGTCAGGTGGAGGAATAGTACCCCAAGGTCTGGATAAAAGAAAGCAAAGGGCCACAGTTTGGAGACTACTATTTTCCCCTCTCTTTTTTTTCTATTTAAATAGGGACATTTGCATTCCAGTGCATGTTTGGTGCATTCCAGTGTGTTTTTTATGCGCTTTACCATGTTCCAGTACAATTCTGTGCAGGAAAAACGCAGCCTGTTCTACTTTTTTTTCTGTAACCAGAGTGCAAGCACTGATGTGAACTATGACATTGACAACCATATGACCTATTGTGCATTTTGGATGCAGAAAAAAAGCACTTTGAAACACATGTAGCGTGAACTGGCCCTTAAAGCATGAAAATCAAAGGTCTGCTAAGTGCTTAGCCTCTCTGCCCCCCTCCGCATATGAAACATATAAAAAAAAAATTCCAGGGAGCTCACCTAGGCGAGGGCGAAGTGATGTCACTGCTGCTTTTATGAGTGCTCCACAAGTTGGATGTTAGGTAAGTTTCTTTTCTTCTTTTTTTCTTTCTTGTGTATTTTTGATGTTTTAATGTTTTCTTATTTGGGTGATGGTGGCTTGGCATGAAAGTGGAATTTTAAGCCAGTTCAATGCAGTTTGCATTTTGTCTGTTTTGCAGTGCTGTTTGCGGTGCACTTTGCATTTTTTCATGTGCATTTTGATGCTTTTTTATGCATTTTGCATGGCTTTTTTTGTGGCGGCAGAGCAACTTGTTGCTGGGCAGATTAAAAACTCAAAACGCGTCAAATACAAGTCAAAATGCATTTTCTGCAGCATCTTCATTGAAGTCCATTGAACTAAAAACTCAACATTTTGCTTTTAAAGTCCCTGACCCTTTCTAAAAAAACGTAGTGGCTCAAAAAAGCATAGATGTAAACATTTCCCATAGGAAATGTTAAATAGACTAGTGCGTTTCTGCAAAAATGCACTAAAAACGCATTGGTGTGAACCAGGCCTTAATGCAGAAGAGACACACTGGGGTGGATTTACTAAAACTGGAGCTCTCAGAATCTGGTGCAGCTCTGCATGGTAGGCAATCAGCTTCTAACTTCAGCTTGTTCAATTTAGCTTTGATGACAAAATCTGGAAGCTGATTGGTTTCTATGTAGAGCTGCACCAGACTTTACATTCTTACATTTTAGTAAATAACTCCCACTATGTCACTCTTCCACTAAGGTTCCATTACCTGCATGGGCAGTTACAAACGTCGAGATGAATGCATTCCGTGCATGTGCAAGAGTGACATCATCTTGACTGGGCCAATGAAAATGGCCGAGGATTGGAACCTGGAAACCGATCCAGCCAAGATGAAAGCGGCCAGCGAGGAGCTCCGGGACACCGCAGCGCTAGATAGAAGGTGAGTAGTGATGGGTTTGATATTCAAGTCAAATGTAAGTTTGAATCAAATATCGTCCGTTTATGTGTTCGGCTGGCTGTTTGCCTGCTGCACCCCACAATGCACAGCGCTCTAACAGTGCATCGTGATTGGCCAAAGCAATGCACCTGACCACAGCTCAGGTGCAATTATTTGGCCAATCACAGCACAATTGGGCAGAGCTAGAGCTGACGTCACTGCTAGCTCCATCCAATTGTTTGCATCTGACGATCAAATGTCAGATAGAGGCGAGTGCTCGTGGGGGTGAAGACTGCTCACCAGCTGTTTTATTTTTATTTCGGTCAGTCGTTGTCGTCGTGACAACGCCGTGATTGATGACGGATTACAATGATGGAAGCTTTTTTTTGGCTTTTTTTTAAATAAAGGACTTGTCAAAAACTGTTGTTTTTATTCACATTAAAACTTTTTTGGTAAATGGTTAGTACTCATATCAGGGGCGGACTGACCATTTGGAAACTCGGGCACTGCCCGAGGGCCCGGGGTCAGTAGGGGGCCCCATGAGATGCACCTGGTACTTTTTTCATAGGCGTTTTTTGAGTTTGGGCAAGGACACAGGGGCCCCATGATCCCCCATTGCCCGGGGGCCCCATGAGTTGTCAGTCCGCCCCTGATTCATACTCATTCACAAGGAGGGGAACAGGATCTGGGGGCCCCTTGTTAAGGGGGGCTTCCAGATTCAGATAAGTCACCCCCCACAGACCCCCACAAACACAGCCCAGGGTTGTGGGGAAGCAGCCCTAATCCCCATCAACATGGGGGCAAAGTGCTTTGGGGGGGAGCCCTCCTATCCCAAAAGACCCCCCCCCCATGTTGAGGGCATGTGGCCTGGTACGGTGCAACAGAGGGGGTTCTCATTCATCCTCCACCCCCCTTTCCTGGCCTGCCAGGCCTGTGCTCGGATCAAGGGTCTGGTAGGAATTTAGGGGGGACCTCTTGCTTTCCCCCTCTTTTTTTTGGGAGGTGGGGCTTCACTTAAAAGTCCTACCAGGCCTAAAGGGCGTAGTATGGCTTTTAGGGGAAACCCAACACATTAAAAACAAAATGTTTTACTGTGGGATCCCTCCTAAGCTTCCTACCAGACCTAAAGGGTCTCGAATGGATTAGGGGGGAGACCCCACACTGGTTGTTTTTTTTTTGGTATTTTTTTTTAATGTCATTTTTTTTAAATGTCAGTCCTGCTGTAACAGGTTCTATACATTGTACAGATGTGCAACTTTGCAGGTAGTTTCAGGGGACGCCCCAGGCATGAAATTTAAAGGAAATTTTCTTTTCTTTTTTTTTTTTACTTTATGCAATGAAAAATGACAGCCCCTTTAAAAATGGTACTTTTGGGAAACAAATTTTCACTGATTCATGCCCCTCAGGGCAGTATCAGAGTCCCCATACCACTTTTATGGCCAATAACTTGCATATAAGCCTTCAAAATGGGCACTTTTGAATTTAAAAGTTTGAGTCCCATGGACTTGCATTATGTTCGAAGTTCTTGGTTGAATGTTTATTAGGTTTGAATGTTTGACCGAGAACCGAACGGGGGGGTGTTCGGCCCATCAATAAAGGCGAGTATAGTATATTATATTTAGGACTCCTCAAACACCCAGCATTTGTCAATGTGCGAAAAATGCTGTGTGTGTTGGCACACTTGACATGTTTTCTACAGTGGTGCCTTGCATTCTTTTAACCCTGTGCAGTGCATTTATGTGTGTTTTGTTTTTGGCCTTAACCACTTCCTGTCTGGACACTTTTACCCCCTTCCTGTCCAGGGCAATTTTCAGCTTTCAGCGCTATCACACTTTGAATGACAATTGCGCGGTCATGCAACACTGTACCCATAGGAATTTTTTACTATTTTTTTGAGACAAATAAAGCTTTATTTTGGTGGTATTTATTCACCGCTGGGATTTTTATTTTTTTGCCATGTAAATGAAAACGGCCAAAAATTTTGAAAAAAAAGTGTTTTTCTTATAAAAGTTTGCAAATAAATAATCTTTCATCCTAAATCTTGGCTGAAATGTATTCTGTTATCTTTTTAGCAAAAAAAAAAATAAGCCAAATTAGTTTATAACCAAAAATTATAATTTTTAAAACATTTTTTTTACATTTTTATTTTATTTTTTTATATTATTTATGTTTTTTGGGTTTTTTTTACATACTGTCACCCTAGCAGTACAGTGTCACCATGGTGACACTATACTACTTGTGGGGGGTGATGAAGATTTTTTTTTTTTTTTTTACAGTGATTGCTTTTACACCCATATAGGATGTAAAAGAAATCATTTCTCTTTCTCTCTGTCTGCATTCTTGCAGCCATTGAGAACTACTGAGTGAGCTGTGATTGGTCACAGCTCGTCACATGGTACAAGGCTGTTGTGAATAGCCTTGTACCATGTGACCTCTGTGATCATTCACAGATTTCACAAGTAGTAAGCAATGATGTCACAAGTGACATCTTGCTTACTACTTTGCATGTGATCACTGATTGGCCAATCAGCGATCACATGATCAGGACCTCATACAGAGGTCCTGTCTGACGATCGGTGTTCCACTGTGTCCGGAGGACACAGCAGGCACCGAATCGCGGTGCTGCGCGCTCCCAGGGAGCGCGCACAGCAAGAAATGGCGGGTGCGGTTTATGAACGGCAACCCGCCCCTGGACTGCCACCGTCTTGCCGTTTATAAACAGCAGGCGGACAGCAAGTGGTTAAGCACATGAGGCAGCTTTTTTGCCACAACAAATTGAAAAACATTGTGTTACTCTGTTATGAAATGCAGTATGTTCTCTTTTACTCCAGTGTACATCACCACAGGGCATTGGCGTGAATTGGAACCATTGAAAACAAGGCTTTTTGCGTTGCCCTTGCGTTGGGATTGCACCGAGCAGCACAGCCCAGTAGTGTGAACGAGTCCTTAAAGCAGCCATTTCAGCAAGGGTTCCTTCAGAGGTTGCTAGTTGTTCCCTAAGCAGTGGGACTGTTAGACGTATTAGCAAATTTAGATACATGAACAAACTGAAGCCAAACTAGGTGCTCCCTGAGCAGTGGGAATGTTAGATATACTAGCAGATTTAAATACACTGACAAATTAAACCCAAACTCCAGCTAATACTTTATAAGCAGTTAGAGCAAGAGTTTGTTTTTCCTTTTGGGATAAAGGTTTTACATAAATAAATAAAAAATGATTATTGTAAGCTCCCGTCAGTGTTAAAGCGTTACTAAACCCAGGACCCTGCATTCACTATATCTGGTCTCCCACAGAGCGCAGAACATGGAAGTGCAATTATTTCAGTAAATATAAACAAAATGTCTTTTCTTATCAGCAGTATATAGCAGTCTTGTGACTTCTATCAGTGTCCAGCAGAGCACATGTTAAAGCTTGTAGAAGGAGCTTTAATTTTGCTCTAGGAGGATGCAGAACCCCTGAACTCTGTCTGGACAGTGCTGATTGGCCGTGTGCTGATCAAATGCACTCTTTCAAGAAAAAAAGCAATACACCCCAAACTGAGCATGTGCAGAGTGACTCCACACGACATGTCTTATGAGGAGATAAGAGGGGGACACTGGAAGAAGGGGAGGATCATAGAAGTCGGGATCAAATTATTTTCGTAAATATAAATGGCTAAATACCTTTTCTCATCAGCAGTTAGAGCAGTCTTGTGACTTCAGCTTAGCACTAGTTAAAGCTTGTAGGAGGAGTTTTCTTTCTGCTCTAGGAGGATGCAAAACAACTGATCTCTGTTTGGACAGTGCTGAGGCCCTGTGCTGATCACATGCACTCTCCCAAGAAGAAAACAACCTCTCTAGCAATACGCACTAAACTGAGCATGTGCAGAAGGGCTAAAAGTTCAGTCTGTCTTATCAGCATAGACATTTGATCAAGAGGAGGGGCAGAGAAGAAAGGATCAAACGGCCTTTTTACACAATGCAGAGGATTAACCCCTTAGGTTCCACAGGGAGTATAACAAGCATGCTTTACTGCATATACAGACTGATTTTACTGTTGTGGGTTTAGTAACACTGTAAGCTTCACATTGATCCTCTTCTACTCCCTCAGCACTTCTCTAAAAAATTTTTGCTCACTGATCCACACTCCTGCTATGCTGTGCAGTCCATGGGAAGCTGCACAGCCACCTCTGGAAACTCTCAGTCCGCCCTCACCCCTTTTTCTTTGCATGCAAGGAGAAAATCTTTTTAACCTATGGAAAGGCCATCTACTATGCATCCCATCAATAGATGGCCTCTCTGCAAGAATGAATGCAGGGAAATTGTGTTGCTTCCTGCTGACAGATGAGTTTAAAGTGACAGGTGACCTGGGTGGGGGTGGAGTTATTCTTGTGTGTCTAGGCTTAGAAAAGCAGGACCAGAAGGGGTTACAATTACAAAAAAAACTAAAAAAGAAAACTAATGCAGCCACCACATCTAAGGATTGGTAAACTGCAATATATAATAAATGTTTGCTTTTGGGTTTAATACTGCTCTAATTATGTAATAATGATTGCAGAGCTGCAGTAATGTGTGTCTTTCATATCTGTCTGGAGTTCAGCTTTAACTTTGCCAAGCATAAGCAGTCAATAGAAGGGATTTATTCAGAGTTCGTGGAAGGTGGACGCACTGGTCTGTTACTGCCTGAGGATTCAGAAGTACTGGTCAGGTTTAATTCAATCTGGAATACCACTACAGGGAAGTGATGGGCAGCATTCTGTAAAATATTGTTCTGTCTCATATTTTTCCTCTCACCAGTCTATCTTCCTGACATGCCATAAAATCAGACAGTCCCAAGACTGCTTTATTAAATAGGCTGCTATATTCCAGTAGAGCGGGAAGCCCTAGATGGCACTAACATACTCCAAATCAAGTGTTCTCCAAATGTGGAATTGCACAGAACATCAAGAATTTCTTTGTAGTTGGAATTGCACATTGCTTTCAAAACAAAGCCGCCCTCGAGTGTTTACCGGAGCTTTTATCAGCTTATCCAAGTGCTGTGCAAAGACCTCTTTAGATATGATTCCAAAATGGATCATAGACTGGTGTTCTTCGCAAGCTGCTCAGGAGGTTAATAGTTGGGCTTTGATAAAGCAGACTGTGCAGCATATTTATTTTATGACTAGCAGAAATAGACGATTGCCTGTTTTTAGATACATCTTTTGTCTCCTGCATAAAGGGCAAAAACCAGAGCAGAATATCTCTTTTAGCTGACCCCAGACATCTCCATTGTGCTGCTTTGGGCTAAGTTGTAATGTATGATCTCACTTGAAGCTAAACTCCAGGCAAACCGCTAAATAAACAGATGAAATACGCATATATAAGGGAGTAAATGGATATGAATAAATGAAAAAATGCAGCACAACAATATATATACAAATATGGTGCTAGCAATATAATACATGCAAATGAAAAAACAAAAAACTGTGCTTGTGAAAATCAATGTGTGCTATACCAGATGTCTTACCATACATACATATAGGACCCCATCAACTTTTTGTTTTTTTTCATTTGCAGGTATTATATTGCTAGCACCATATTTGTATATATATATTGTTGTGCTGCATTTTTTTCATTTATTTATGTTTTACATGTGGGAACACATTATATGCTAGTCGCACAAGTTCTTTAGGAGGTCCATAGCGCTGAGGGTTTTCTATACACAGAGTAAATGGATATGTATTTCTTTCTATACAGTTTTGAGATTTACACAGCTCTGCCACACTGCACAGCCCTGTCTGGCATGGCAGATCTGATTTTTTCATTACTGCACCTATAGGTTTTGTTCATGCCCCAACAGGCCATAGATGATGTGATTTTCTTTCCTGCAGCCATGGTTGCAGGGAAGAAAATCTCTTGATACCCCATCAACACAGTCAGTGTTGATTGGGGCATCCTTCCCACAGAGCTATTGTGTTCTCCCAGCGGGGAGCCGTCACTGCCAGGAGAACACAGTGAATAATGCTATAGCTGCTTGCAATAATTGCATGTAAAAATCCGACAGGCTGGTTGTACCAAAATTAATCAATGGATTGACTTGGGCACAGTCAGCCTGCCCATAGATGTTTCAAATCTCAGTCGGTTACTGCTAAACCAGCTGAGAGTCAAACCATCTATGGCCAGGTTGTGAAAGGAGAAGAAGCACAGCGGTGAGCTCAGTCCATCACATACCTGGGTGGGGAGCCTGAGATGACAAGGGCAGGCTCTCTTACTGCTTCAGTCTAAACACTCCTGGGTAAGAGACCAGGGAGGGTAGAAATGAAAAAGTACAGTGCTGGTGGATGATGCTGGTGTCACTGGAATTTGAGATGAATGTCACCAAAGAGAAGAGATCAGCAGCAAGCTGGGGTCAGCAACAATGGCAATGTGGTACCAGATTGGCAGGTGGAGATGGAGTCAGGAAGAGACCAGGTCATCAACTTGCAGGCAATGAGATACCAAAGCATCAGTCAGGAATTGTAGTCAACAGTCAATATAAGGGCAGATGAGCAGACTAGGAAGAGTTGTAGATGGGTCAAGGAACAAGCTGAGTTGGTAACAGGAATCAGAAAGAGACTGCAAAATCACTGGGACAGACATACAGCTGAAGACCTTTCAGCACCGGGGCCTTGTAGGATTTAGTTTTCAAAGGTTTGCTCAGTATCACTTTTAACAATGTGTGCCATGGGAGAAGTCTCCTTCCTGACACTATCACTCTGCTCTCTCCTTCTATGAGCCCCTCCTTGTTAACACATCAGCATTGCAGCTATACTGCCTCCTTGCACTGCCCCCCAACTTCCTTCTCAGAGCTGTTGTGTAGTAGACTGGAAAGGGCTGATACCAGGTAAAATTCAATTTTAAAATTAATAATTTCAGAACTGCATTCATTAATGTCTATGAAAACAGAAAACCCAAATACTCCTGCTCTTGAGATGGACTCAACATAGGCTACAACCACATCTCAGATGTCCTGGAATGTGTACTCCTTGGTGCCCTCAAAGGACCAGGGAAGTCCAAATGCACTGGATTTAAAGAAAACAAACTGAGGGTGCACCGGCCTAGTGCATTACCTTAAAAACATTTATTAAAGGAATAAAGATAGGTATTGTATTCACAAATGACAATAATGTCAAAGGCACATCATAAAGAACTGCACTGTCCAATCCACACTATGTGACTGTCCGCAATGGGAGCCCTGGACTTCCAGCATACTAACGCGTTTCGAGGACTTGCCTCTTCCTCAGAGCCAATGTTTCATTTGTGCCTCTTTTACCTACCTGGAAATCAGATTTAAATCTGAACATCAAGACTATTGTCTACATACAAAAGCTATGTGTATTCCTTTAATAAATCTTGGTATGCTCTGTGTATTTCTTCCATATCTGTGCAGTAATTCAGTGTGAATCTTTTCCTCTGTGCAAGAGCTTCCTGTAAAAAAGACTGGTCACTGCTGCTCTCTCTCTCATTGTACAGGGTGACTGGTCTTGTCCCGCCCCTCTAGTTTTCCACAGGCAGCCTCTAGTGGGTGGAGCCTGCTGGGCACCTCTGAAATCTCCTGACTCTGCACACGCTCTGTACAGCACAGTGATAATGTCATTGCTACTTTTACAAGGTGTTACAGATCCAACCAGGACAGTGGCTTTTGGAGGGGACTGCAGGCTAGCCTCTTGCCTACTGACCATGGACCCTGGCATCTGAGAGAGCTCTATTCTTTGGGAGGTGTGTGCCTGGGGAGACCTTTTACTTCGGGATTCAAGTCCATGTGTCCCTGAAGCATACAGACTCTGAGAACTGGAGGACCAGGATACAGATTTGGAGTCTCTGTGCCCAAACCAGCACTTACTGCTTCAACACCGCTCCTAGACTCAGAGTATTCAGCTCAACAAAACCTGATGCTGAGGTCTCTGGCTGTAATCTACTAAGGTGTTATGTGTTTACCATTGTGTATTTGTTCCATTGTTAATTGAATTAATTGAGTCATACTTGTTTCTGTCTGTTCGCTAGTCCTCTTGGAGGTTACTACATAATAGGATTAGTCTGGTGTCGATTTGACCTCATTACCTAATCAGTGCGGAATGTTTATCACAATGTGTAATATTTGTTTTTATTGTTCATGCGGGGACTGCCCCTATTTCTGAAGTGTATAAAAACCTGTATTTCTGTTCAATAAAGAGTTCCAGTTTTGCACCTAAGCTAGTGTCGCGTAGTCTTGGGTGTGATGCCCAGCTATAATACCTTGGTGCTGTATCCCTGCGGCAAGGAAGCAGTTCTCTGACGGAAGCACCCAGGTCTTGGGTGCTATGTGGTCCATCACACAAGGTAATAACTGTGTATGCAGAGACATTTTGTGCACACAAAAATGGAGTTTTCCACCTTATGGCTATTGAAGAATATATTTTAAAAGAAAGCTATTATGCCCGGAGCTCTGCTTTATGTGAATAAACCATGGCCTATGTTCCTAGATATATGCAGTAACAAATACCAATTATTATTAACCATTCCTTTAGGACTGTGTGCTGTATTCTACCCTACCAGTCATCAAAGTTTTCTGAGTACTAGGAACATGCTGCCCTTTGGCTGTAATATTGGCTCTCAGCATAGAGGGTGCTGATAGGAAGGCAAAACCCTGAACTGCATTTGTGGGCTGGACTGTAATTGTAACCCCTTCTGGTCCTGCTACCCTAAGCCTAGACACAAGAATAACTCCACCCCCACCCAGGTCACCTGTCACTTTAAACTCACCTGTCAACAGGAAGCAACACAATTTCCCTGCATTCATTCTTACAGAGAGGCCAATCTATTGATGGGATGCATAGTAGATGGCCTTTCCATAGGTTAAAAAAATTTTCTCCTTGCACACAAAGAAAAAGGGATGAGGGCGGACTGAGAGTTTCCAGAGGTGGCTGTGCAGCTTCCCATGGGCTGCACAGCATGGCAGGAGTGTGGAGCAGTGAGCAAAAAACTTTTAGAGAAGTGCTGAAGGAGTAGGAGAGCATCAATGTGAAGCTTAAAGTGTTACTAACCCCACAACAGTAAAATCAGTCTGTATATGCAGTAAAGCCTGCTGGTTATACTCACTGTGGAACCTAAGGGGTTAATCCACTGCATTGTGTAAAAGGGTCGTTTGATCCTTTCTTCTCTGCCCCTCCTCTTGATCAAATGTCTATGCTGATAAGACAGACTGAACTTGTAGCCCTTCTGCACATGCTCAGTTTAGTGTGTATTGCTAGAGAGGTTATTTTCTTCTTGGGAGAGTGCATGTAATCAGCACAGGGCCAATCAGCACTGTCCAGACAGAGATCAGGGGTTTTGCATCCTCCTAGAGCAGAAAGAAAATTCCTCCTACAAGCTTTAACTAGTGCTCAGCTGAAGTCACAAGACTGCTCTAACTGCTGATGAGAAAAGGTATTTAGCAGTTTATATTTACTAAAATAATTGCATTTTCATGTTTTGTGTACTGTGGGAGGCCAGATATAGTGAATGCAGGGTCCAGGGTTTAGTAACACTTTAACTGTACAAAGAACACAGGTTATACGTGTATGTAAATTCTAACAATACATTTTTGTTATTTGCTCCCTTTTAGTTTGTTGAATATACTAGTGTTTTATTATATCTGTTAGACAAGTGCAAATCTTGTGAGCTGATAACTTCCTCTGCCTCTAGACTGTTATCAGTTACATTGTTCTCTGCTCCGTGGACTACAAAACACCTCCCCCTGTTATGAGGAAGAAAGCAAGATGTTATATAGTTCTAACGCAGTGTTGTATAGTCCTAACACACTCCCTGTCCTAGGGTGACAATGCCGCTCTGTACATTTGTCACCGTAGGACAGGAAGTGTGTTAATCGCAGGATTAGCAGGTGAAAATAAAGGGAAAAAAGTGTGAAAAAAACCACATACAGCTACCACATCTATGGACTGGGGCACTGTAATACTGTCAATTTCTGGTTTTGGGTTTACATACGAGATGTGACAATTTAATTCCTGGAACTCCCGTGTCCAAGCACTATAGTGGTGAGTCACACAGCCATTTGTACTCAAGGGTGTTATGTTCTAACATACACTTGTCTGAGTCGCAGACTAGTCTTTACAGAGTAGTAGAAGAAATAACATGTGTGTGCACTAGTGGAAAATGAGTGACAGGAATCTGGATCAGTGGATTAGTATCAAATTTTGCATGAAAACTGGCAAATTTGTGAGTAAAACTTTAGTTCTCTCACAACAGGCTTATGGTGAACATTGAATGAAGAAATCAAGTGTTTTTGAATGGCATTGGTGGTTTTAAGGTGGTTTAAGGAGGGGCAGGAAGATGTACACGATGACACAACCAACATTTTTACTTGGAAATTCTGAAATGGTTACAGGAATCTCTTTGGAGGAAAAGACCGAAACTCTGGCCTAACAAGTAGATTCTCCACCACGACAATGCTCCTGCACATGATGCATTACGTGTTCACTAATTCCTGGCCCAGAAATCCATTCCGGCACTTGACCCCTGACTTCGCACCCTGCAATTTTGCCTGTTTCCAAAATTAAAAAATGCGTTAACAGATTTGATGACATTCCGAGCATCCAGTGCACTGTGGAAAAACTACTGCGTTCCGGAAATTCCATTCCAAATGTTTCTGGCAGTGGCACAGTCATCTACAAAAGTGCGTTTCTTCACAAGGGGATTAATTTGAACGTAGAAACAGCCGCTACTATATAGCTAAGCAAACTTTTTTTTACAGTCCATTTAGGTAATTAAGTGATTAGATCTCGTATGCTTCAAATTCTAAATGACCCTTTGCTTGGAAAGATTGTATAACGGTCTTCGGTTGAATCAAAATTCAGTTGAGAGGCTGTTGGAGAAGTCTCATAGCCAGCAGCAGGGTGGAAATAAGTTTTTGTCTGTCACCAATTGTGAGAGTTTACAAAGTCTTGGCAGAGGTCTTGCCTGAAGTAGCCATAACCAAGCTGGGCATCAAGTAAGGCTGTGAAGAAACACAACCAGTATCAGAGCAGGGGCAGACAGAGGTAAAGCAAGGTCCAGACAAACAAGGTCAACAACTGAGGTCCATCAAAAACCCAATAAAGCACTGCACCCACATGCTAACAAATTCAACCACAAGTAACATGATGAGAGTATCACAAATAGACTTTAAAAAGGAAGTAGAACTAATCAGGATGCATGCTGGCAGAAGTTTATAAAGAGAAAGAGGATGCTGAGATAAATATGTGAACTCTACAGAGAAATCGGCAGTGTGGGACCCCAACAGAGTGTACTGTAGAGTGGAAGGATCCACCAAGTGCCACAGGGAAGCTGAAATGACTACTTGTAGCCTCCATAGGAAGCCCATGCAATAGGAAGGCAACACAGGAGTGCAACTGGGGGCAGGAATAGAACGTTGTCATCCTTATAACAGGAAGTGTTTTGAACAAGCATCTTCATGGCAGGACCACTGGGAATTATTTTAATGAAAAGTGCAGATTTAAAAATTATGAAAATTACTTTTGAAATGACATTAACATATTACAAATGGATGAAATGTTTGTTGTTAGGTTTACTAATGCCACTTGCCAGCCAGTCACGTATCTGGTACGTCACCAGTCTTCAAGTGGTTGTACCGGGATGATGCCTGCAGCTTCACAGCCTTTTTCCTACTGTGCATGTGTGATTCGCACTGGGCCTTGTGATTGGTCCAGTAGTCTTCTCGGACCTGGGAAGTGTTCCAAAAAACTGCGGGGGAAAGAGGAGGCCGAATGTCAGGCTCAGTTCACCGTAACGAAGTGACCAGGTACTCACTCCCACCATAAAAAGTGTCAAATGTGGCAGTGGAGGGGGGAGGGTGCAAACAAGTGAAGCTTCTCCTTTATGGTGGAGCTCTACTTTAAGTGGTTTTGATTTATAAACGACTAACTGATCAACTTAATGTAAGTAGTCTCAATTACTGTTATAATATGTATAAAATAATCATATATATATATATATATATATATATATATATATACTGCATATGTATTGTAATTATTCAAATATATAATTTCTTTTTTACAAATCTACATTTAATACAAGGTTCAGCCATGACAAAGGATTCACATAGCACTATGGGTTTTCTAAAGAAAACAGTAGAAGCTATTTGCCTATATTCCTCTGTCTCTCTGACTGAAACATTTGACAGAGCTGTCTGAACGATGAAGGCAAGATGAAAGTCGAAAGGACTTGACTTATTTACTATCCAATTTAAAAAAGATTTTTGCCTTTAGTTCTAATTTATGTTTACAGGTCCTTTAAAAATATTTATCTAGAGATAGTATAAAAGTATGTCTTTTCTTCTTCAGGTATATGTGGCTTATAATCAACAATTATCAAAATTTAACATGAGTAGAACTGAGATCTTATCTATTGGCAACAACATGAAATAATTCTCTATTTACTGCCATTTCAGTTGCTGGGCATGGCATTGTAAGTGCCCATCTGACTGGCCCCTTGGCATTCATCTCCTTATGTTTCTTAAAATATAACATGCATGACACCATTAGAATTTAGGAAATAAACCTGTTTGCCTTGTTACATTTCCTTGCCAACATACTCTTTATTGTTGAAAGCATCATATGCTGCTCGAGGAGGACAGAGGGAGGTGGTGTTGGGAAGATACATGTACTGTAATAGTCATCTTTAAAATGAAAATGTAAAAGAGTCACCTGGCCTGCAGCAAATGGACCATTTAATAGCCTATTGTCAGCCAACAAATGGTGTGTAATAATGAATCTCACCTCTTAGTGATACATGGCACAGTTGTGGACTGCTACATCGAACACCTGTGAGCACATTATTGCTTTTTAGGTCTTCCTCCTGCTATCACAGATTGTGTTGGCTGGGGCTAATGAACTTCCATTTGCTACTTGTCTGTAAGCTTTCTCCTGTGCAGTTCATTATAAAATAAATTTATAGAGAAATGTACGAAAGCACAACCCGTGCATAACTATTTTCATTAAAAGGAGGAAAGTGTGCTTAAGTAGATGCTATTACCAAGTACAGTTATTAGACATACTGAATATTTTAAGTATTGCAGTCTCTAATTAGGAAATGTGTCCCCTGTACAACTTCTAAACCTTTAGGCTAAAGCCGAACTCCAGCCAAAACTTTGGCAGAGTAGGGTACAGCCTCTGTAAGGTTTTTATTGCTGTTCCTAGTGGGGACATATCTTCTTAATCCCTGTGAGGACTAGGGATACATAGTTTTCAGTGACAATGAATTAATCGTCGTGAAAGTTTCACCAAAAGCCTTAATAATTAACCATTATTAAGATCAGCATAAGAAAGTCTTGCTGTAACTCTGGCAATAGCTAATCAAAAGTATCCTCAAGTGCACTTGGTGCATACACCCCTGAGAGTAGGTGGGTGTACACATTCCTGAGAGGGGTACCCCTGGGGATGGCTGTAAAGTACGTAGGGGCCTGTCTGTATGGTGGTGCACGTTACTGTCTCTTTAAACTGTTTGCAGTGGATGACTGTAAGGGCAGCCTCTACTGGCATTAACTGAGGACAGCGAGGGGATACACACAATTGGTTCCTTCACCACTCCTGGTACCCAACTGGTTCAGTCTAGAACGCTTTGTGGTCCTTGGTCCCTGGTTGGCTCAGTCCTCATGATCAGGTCCACACAAGGCTCTGTTCTCTCTGGTGTATACGGTACCAGGTCTCGCCAGCACTGGTCCTAGCACAGCAAAAGGCCTTCCTGTTGTTTAGTCATCTGTCTTTCTTAAGGTCAGTCTGTCAGAACCTGGGTCCGAACCTGGGCCTTCTGCGGTGAGTGGCAATGTTTCTTCTTGCTGAGCCACCTGGAATGCTAGACAGCTCCCTTGACAATTATTTGGATGATCCTACCTTGACCTTGTTTATCATGAACAACCCCTTGCTCCTCCCATGAACTTCCTGATATAAACCATTTCTCTGCACTTCCTGTTTGCCAGATTATTGTGCTCTCCAGCCAATATCGTGCTCCTTATCATCTCTGCTGTTATCTGTATTTTGCTACACTCGTTATTGACCCTTGGCTTGTTCTTGACTATGCTTCTGCCTGATCCCAACCTGCAACTGCTCCT